AATTGTAAACGTTGTTAATTATCTAATAAAAAGCCCCCGGCCATAGAGGTCACCTTAACACCGAAAAAAAAAAAAAACAGTAGTAATAACAAGAATTCAAGAATATACTAGAACTGTATACAATAACGAAGCAATGAATGAATCGAAAATACTAAGACTTTACAAATTTCTCAAAAACCACCCTCAAGAAGAATAGACCACTTTTGAAAACCAAGAAATAATAAGACAAATGAAATTTAACTCTATCACTAATAGATACAATTACCAAAATTATAATAATATAGAAGAATACTATAGAGAAGAAACTCTTTACTCAGAAGATGAAAGCATATACGAAGTAATGGAGACATCTTTAAGTCAAGCTCTTGAAGCTTTATTCTAACAAGAAGGACAAAAGAAAAATGATTATCCTATAGACACAACTAGAACTAACGCTATGATGATAACAGAAAAACAAGGATTAACTCAATTATATTCAGAATGCTATTATACTTATTCACCTAAGAACCTATTAGGAGGAATATGTCCAGAATGCTTTAAAGAAATGCAAGATAAATTAACAGATATACAAAAAGAAGAAGCCAAAGTAAAATTAAAAAAATGGCAAAATGATGTAGATTATAAGTTATGGAAATAGAAATATAACCAAGAAACGGATGTAGTAGAAAAACATTATATTTGGTGTTATAATTGTACAGTACAAAAAGGCCAAATTTGTAAAGTAATCAAGCAAAATGAAAAACTTAGAAAAGCACACCTTATCCAAGAAAATGAAATATGAAGAAAAAACCAAAATAGTTGGTGGACAATATATGAAATAATTGAAGAAGAAATAGAATAGTTACCAAATATATCTATTATGGAACAATGTGAAAAGTGCAAAGAAATTTCAAGGAAATTACTAAAAAGAAAAGACTCTATAGAAGATAAAACATCACTAATCGGAACTCAAAAGAACCCTATTATTATAACTGAAACTTTCCAGGCGAATCAAGATCATTTAGACCCCAAAAAATCAGAATCTTATCCTCATTACTCTGAATCATCAAAGAATAACAAAGAAATACAATTACAACAAAGAAACAGGAATGAAATGAAAAATTTGATAACCGTATTAAATTCTGAATACGATAATGAATCTAAAATAAGCATTACACCTCAAGAAAAAGAATCATTACCTGATGAAGATGAAGAAATGACAGATAACGATACTTTAAATGATCAAGAATCACAAAACCAAAATAAAAGTGTTGAAGAACGATTATACCAATTAGAAGCACTTATGTAAAGACTATTCTTTCCTCTAAATGGAAAAAACTTATTAGACATAGCTGCATTAAAGAAAGAAAATAGGGAATTAAAGCAACAGGTTCGAAACTTGAAAAGAAAAATAGAAGCACTTGAAGAAAACCAACTAGTAGAACAAATATTAAATTACAATCACTATGATTTACGAAAAAGACAAACAACCACTTCAATGACATCAAGCATTCCATAACTTTTAATTTGATTATCCTAAATTTGTAGAAGCCCTAAAAAAGGCCCAAACACTGAATCAATATGCACTAACCAAAACAGAATTAGATACTCTACCACCCTATGATGAAGATCTTTATAGATTTCAAGAATTTTTACAAAGAAATTCTGAAGGATCAGATTAAATATAGTTTAGAATAATATAGTATAAAATATATAGGAAAGAAAGTTATATAAAC